GCTGATCTGCTGCCGGACTATGACGATGCTTTACAAAAACTTAAAGACGAAGCATTGGGCAGACTGAAGATCTCGCTTGATTCCATCAACAGGGCGTATATAGGTTTACTGGGAAACCAGCTGGCGCAACTGGGCGATTGGGAATCCCTGGTAAAGGGTGATATAGGCGCATTGCAGGACAAACTTTTATCTGTAGATTTTTTAAAGAATATTGAAGATAAAAAAAATCAACTGGCCCTGCTGCAGCAGCAGCTGGATGCAGGTGGCAACCCAGATATGGCCCTGTATGATTCCCTTTTACAATCGGTACAAGCCGTAACAGGGATTAACAGCATTATCAGTAAGATTAGTTCTTTCAAGGATAACATACACAAAACCGGGTTGCTGGAGAAACTGCAACAGGCAGAACAGTTTAAAAACAACAGCATGCAACAATGGTTCCGGGAGCCGGATAAGCTGAAATCACTGGCGAAAGAACAATTGGATCTGAACGGACTGCAGAAAATATTCCTGAACATGAACCAGTTGCAAATAGGCATGAACACCGTAAGCCTCAGCCCGCTGACGCTATTTCAGTATACCAATAATGGCATAAACGCCGAATTCGTAAACAATAAAAATTACCTTTTTATTATGGCAGGCAAACAAAAGGAGTTTGGCAGCCTGTATGATAACCGGTTTGCAGGCTCCCTTTTTGCAACAGACAATACTGCTATGGGCCTAAGAGTGGGCAGGGGTGATTTGCAAAGCAGCCACGTACATTTTTCATTGTTTAGTTACAAGCAGCAAAAAAGCAGTTACGGCAGGAACCTTATCGGCATGGTGCCTGGCAAAACCATTGTTGCCGGCTTCAGCCATCAACTAAAAATAAATGAATTCAATTTCCTGCATCTTGAGATTTCAACATCCACCCACAAATACGATAACCAGAAAAACATTTCCGACACCCTGCTCCAGGGCAGCACCCTCTCTCATCAACTGCTGAGCGGAGAAAACTTCCTGCAGCAACTGGCATTTACGTTGCAGTGGAATGGCGAAATAGAAGATCGGCAGCTGAGCTATGATATTCAAGGAACACGCATTGGCAAGGGGTACGCTAATCCTGGCGGCCTTTTTCTATCAAGTGGCATGATGGAATTGGGGGCTGGTGTTAAAAAAGGTTTTCTGAAAAACCAGCTGCAGCTGACTGCCAGGGGCAACTACCGTGAATATGCGTACAGCAGCGGCAATTCCAGGTGGCGTAACTATAATTTTTCTTTCCAGGGCAAATGGAAACTGAAAAAAGGCCAATGGATTGCGCTGCGTTACCAGCCCAACCAATCTTTAAGGCTACAGGATTATAAAACGGCATCTGCCGGTGGAAGCAACCGCCTGTCGCTTGAAATGAATTTCCGCCGACGGTTTGGCAAATTCCGTTACCAGCAGGTGATTGGCCTGGCTGTAGTAAAAAATAATTATCGTTTCGATAGTGTGCCCGTTAACAATCATTCTGTACTGCTGAGTTCCATGCAAACTTTCACCATCAACAAAAAATCCTATTACCTCAACACCCAGTATAATAAAGCCACCACAGCTGCTGCCTTGGCCGCTTTCAATACCCAGTTCAATATGGATGCCGGCATTGCATACAACCTTGGTAAAACCATCTCTGCAACTACTGCACTTAATTACAACAGCACAAAAGACTGGTTTAACCAAATAGGCATTAAACAGGGCATCAGCGGCCAGTTGGGAGACAAATTTATTGTCAGTTTTTACACAGCTATTTTAAAAAATATAAAAGAATACAGGCCAGGCAATATGGACAATGTGAGACTGGACTGGAGTCTTCAGTATTTGTTAAAATGATTTCTGTCAAACAGTACCCCAAAAATTCTGTATGAAGATAAAACCATCAGTAAAAAGGAAAATAAGACTACAACTTTTGATGTTCGCGGCGATACAGTATAGTCTGCACGCACAGCTGGGCTTTCAGTTCATGCCTGCATTAAACGGTCAGTCAGTAAATGGCCTCTATACAGCCCAGCTTCAAAACACGGGCTTTACCAGCTATTATGGCAGGGTTAAAATCACCGTTAAAGAAGATGGCAACAAGACGGGACTG